ACACAACAGGACATAGTTGAAATTACAGTCAAAATACAAACATAAAACAAAATGTTTACAATGCCTTATGTCTATCCTCTTCTTGTTTCTGAACAGGTACCACATGGATGCARGAAATTGTGACTCTCATTTCCAGCAGAGGTGACCCCCACTTATCCTAGACTGTCCCAAACTGGACCCGGGCTTCCTGGTTGGGGTAATACTACTGCGCAGATTTTTTAAAAGCCTCGTCCTCCAGACCTCGAGTCCCGAAGGTGTGCATTACCGCCACCTACTGGTATGGAGTGTGGTTTCCAGCACACCTGGTTTGAATGAATGGGTGATTAACAGGTTTCTGCAGCACTGCTCCACAGTCCTGCCACGCCCTTTCGCACCTGTTCCTCATCTCAGCTCAGCTGTTTGTTACCTCATCATTAAGCTCAGCCTGTACAACACCTCTGTGTAGAAATCAGGAGCATCATTTCATGTTGTCTGGTTCTCCTCTGTCACTGACTGACATCCTTGTTCTGTATGTTTAGCTATTTTTGTTTTTGTTTAATAAAGTTTTAGTTTATTCTTTGAGCTCCCCCTGTTGAGTCTGTGTGAATCTTTTGAATGGATATTCAGTTCAAAGACAKCATCACCATTTTAATACAGTTTACYTGCAATAGCAATCTGTCTTCTTGCACTTGTTTATCAGAAATGCCAACATGTGACCCAAAGACCCAAGTACAAGGCAAAGCAGGTTTCCAGAGGCAGATAATGATGGAAAAGTTATTTTTTACAACAAAATCAAGGCTGATGACAGAGTGAGCATGAACAAACCCGTCGTGAGAAACAAAACAACGAAGACATAGATCTGATGAGCAACTTTTTACAACCAAGGATAATTAAATTGAGGGTGTGATTAGTAGCAGTAGTAGTAGTAGTATGAGTACGAGTATAGGTATGACAATCAAACTTATTGTGTAGAAGAAAAAGTGTTACAGAAACAAACCAGGAAACTGTGTGTCATAGTCTGTGTTTATTTCTCAGCTTTCCTAGTGTTTTCTATGTTCCCCAGTGTGTCTTTGCCCAGCTGCCCCTCATCACGCTGCTGATTACCCTTGTGTTTCTCCCCAGGTGTTTTCTCTCCCCTAATTAGTTTTCTGTGTATTTAAGCCCTGTCCTGTCTCTGTCTTTTGTCGGATCATTGTTGTGTTTTGGTTCCTTGTGCTTCGTTCCCCTCGTGCCTGATCATCTTGTGAATTTGTAAGTTTGCTGCCAGCAGCCCTCTTTTTGTTTATTATTAAAGCTTTTTGTTACATTTTGAAACCTTGCCTGCGCCCTGGATCTGTTCCTTGCCAAAACCCTTCAGAATCCCTTCACTGTGGAGCAGATGAGGGGACATGGAGGAATTTTTTTCTCTCTTTTGAGTTCCCACGCAATACATTTTGCATTCAAGTCATTTATTACTGTTGTGGCTGCTGGTTTAGTAACAAATTCACATGCTCACAATTATACAGGAGTTAGCCTATACTTTAATTCAGCTTTGGAATGAACATATCACAGCCAAGCATTTGTGATGCAGATATTTTAACTTAATGCTGCCACACATATATCACCATCAATTTTCCCATCTTGTAGTGACACGTCCTGTTTAAGTAACCGGCTATTTCAAAATAAAAGTCTCCTTCAATACAGTTAATACAAAACATTAAACTTTTGCTTAGGAATGAAAAAGGAAGAAAATCCCCCAATGTCCCCTCGCTGGCTCTGTAGGAAACAAAGGACGCTAAACTATTTATTTTTAACTACACTGCTCAAAAAAATAAAGGGAACACTTAAACAACGCACGCTAAGTCCAAGTAAATCAAACTTTTGTGAAGCACATTCAACTCTGTACAGAACAAAGTACTCAATGCGAATATTTCATTGATTAAGCTCGGGAGTTAGCGTGCGTTGTTTAAGTGTTCCCTTTATTTTTTGAGCAGTGTATTAATTTTAAATGTTTTAAGTTGTTTTGATTTTTGTTGTATTTTAACTTTTCTTTTGAATATATTTTGGGTATAAAAAAGGAGCAGATATTATAAGATTTATTCTTCTTCTGCTGCCTTTCATTTTATTTGATTTTATTTTGATTGCATGTTTTTCTGTACTTTGTTAATTTGTGTTACTACAAAAAAACTACAATGCAAATTCAAAACAAAAAAATAGAATAAATTTAAGCTAATTTTAACAAAACTTTGCAAGATCAAAGCTTCTCACAAATATCCCATTTAATTCTCAGCTTTTTTACATTAAAATTTCAAACCAAATCTGGAAATGACATGTGTTCCTCCTTTATTACTCCTTCAAATCTATGCAGAAATCACTGTGCTGTTGTCTCTGCAAACAGATACCTGAAGCCGACCAGATTTTTTTATTACCATCCAACTCAATTAAAGATCAATAGAAGGTGGAGCTCATCTCCCGCATAATAAAAAAAATATATAATGCAATATGTTTGTCTTTAGTTTTCTACTTGAGATATTTAAATGGCTGTTTATATTTGAAACTTGACACACATACTGACTCCTCTGTCTTGAAATGGTAACAGATATTTCAGTGTCAAAGAAGCAAAATTGGATTTGCGGCTCCTGTGGGAATTCTGGGAGCAGCAGAAGGATCATTTGCTAATGGCATCATCTGGCTGAGGGTTAGTATTACTCAGAGGCCAGAATCATTTCAGAAAGTTGTCCATTTTTTTCTGTTTTTGTTTTTACATGCTAAACTTAATATCCCTACTGTCTGAAAATGCACACTCGTAAAAGAAAAAAAACATTTTAGAAGCCATAAAGGCAGGATGTAAAAAGTGAGACAGAGAGGAAGAAGGAGAGAGTGAGTCAAAGCGGGAGGGAAAGAGAGGAGAGAGTGACCATAAAGCAGGTTGATTAGATTACAGAGCTGCATCTAACAGGCCATTTGTTACACAGAGAAACAGACMTCCACTGTGAGAGCCATTTACGTTTAGGAGCAAATGTTGAGAATGACAAAACAGTTAGCGATCAGAACACTTTATTCACATGTGGGCTGCTTTGTGAGGAGCTGCAGGGAGAACAAATTCAATGTTTAATTAAGGATTAAAAACYGCTGCTTGAAGACTGAAACATACAGGTAAACACACAATAAAATGTAAATTGATCGGTTGTTAAATACAGGAGAGAATGAATATAAAGACAAGACTAAACCGAGCATCACTTGGAACACAAAGGGAAGGAAGTGCCACACCCAGTGGACACAGAGCATGCTCTGTATTACATCAACTTCATGCAGGAAAGCCTGTCTGCAGAGCTTGGTTAAAATGAGCTGAAACTCTAACATAAGCTAAAAAATGTCTCATAAACTATCATCTATGTTTATGTTTCATGGCTACACACTTTTATTCATTTAAACAATCTAACTAAATAAAAAAGAATTTAAAACCTGGCAGCTTATTGTTCAGGGGCTGCAGAGTAACCGTTTATTCTTTGAATACTGGATTTATATTTTACCTGTTGGCTTTTTGAACAACCTCAATTTAGACAAAAAYAGTTTAACTCAGACCAGAATAAATGGATTGATATCGTCTCGATACAACCCCAATCTAAAAATAAATAGTAAAAAAAAAAAAAAAACGTGATAGTTCAATGTAAACACCATTTTATAAACCTTTACACAACCATCAATATTACATTACATTATTATTCTGGAAGAAACATGGTGGTCTTGCTGAAAAGGCCCCAGGCTGCAACAAAATGCTACAATTAGCCGCTACTGCTATTTGTGCTTGCAAATAACCAGCAAACTATATGTAAAGAACAGCAAAATTGATGACAATAAAATAACTTTTCAATGTGAGCATGGACTTTTCTATTTTTTTATTTTTTTGAGTTTGGAGTGATTTTAGCTGAAYATAGGCACCAGTGACYCCCATAAAACAGAAAGGAAGAAGCATGAACCTCACTTCAACAGATCTGACCTATTCCTTTAAACTGCCTTTAATGTGTCATTTTGTCCTGATGCTGACGCCTGAAAACTCTAGAAGACTAATTTTCACACTGAAGATAATGAGCCAAAAACATTTTGTGCAATAAAGAGACATTACACAACAAAATACAAAGTTATGTTGAACTCTGAAGTTTTGAATGGACCTGTAGGCCTGCCATAACAATAGTCGTTTTTATCTTTTAATTTTTATTGCCTTGTTATGGTTCTGTTTTAGTGGATCTTTGTTTTTCCGAGATGAGATGTTTGTTTGGATAAAGAAAGTATTTTACTCTCATCTCTCTCTCTCTCTCTATTCTGAGTCTACAGGAACTCGATGAACCCATAAATCTGCTGCTGACCACACACACAAATGAACTTGTAAAAAAGCTTTCACCCTAACCGCGATTACAGCTTTTCCAAAAGGATGAAATAACTGCAGAGTCATGGCTCTGCCCCAGACGGCCGGAATATCAATAACGTATTCCATTACTGTAAAAGGACAGAGACAGAGAGGAGAGAGGCATGGAGACAAATGGACGGGGGGCAAAAATCAAATCAATGGATCCCTGTGATTCGGTTTAGCTTAGGATTTCGGATTCTCTTACTAAGAAGCAGGAAACCAAATCTTTCGTAGACACATTTCATAGTAATGTTAAGATAATCCATGAAAAAGCAGCTTAAAATTAATAGCTGTGCATGCAGAAATAATATGGAAAACAGCTGAGACAATTTATTGCTCTGCAAAGTGGCCGTGAAGGCATTGATGAGTGATGGGAGGAGGAGATGGTCTTATCTTTAGTTATCAAGGCGGTCAGCCTGGCCTCCTGCCAAGTTTTCTGGTTAAAAAGATGTCCGGACACGGGCCTGGTGGAAGTGCAGAGAAAGGCAGCGAGGGTTAGGGAGTGGCCACAGCGAAGTGTGCTGATGAACGGCAGAGAAGGGGAGGGAGGAGGGAGGAGCGATGAGGGAGGGGGRGGTGTGACGCTCAGAGGACCTGAGTGTATAAAAGCTCTCCGCTCTCCTCAGTCTGATGTCCTGTTGCTTCAGGAGCACTCAGAAGCCTCCAGCTCTCCACCTTTCATCAGCGACAGAGAACAGAACCAGAACCACCATGAGCCACTCTTCAATGCACTCCTCCACCTCCTACAGGCGCACGTTTGGAAGCCCACACCCCATCACCCTGACCTCCTACAGCCCTGTGTCCTCCCGGGTCGCCTCCTCCGGAGGCCGCTACGTGCGCTCGGCCTCACCTGCGGTGGTGTCCCGCCCCACCGCCTACCACCAACAGCGTTCCCGCCCTCAGCCCCCTCGCCTCTCCTACGACAAGGTGGACTTCACCCTGGCCGAGGCCGTCAACCAGGAGTTCCTCGCCACCCGCAGCAACGAGAAGGCCGAGCTGCAGGACCTCAACGACCGCTTCGCCAGCTACATCGAGAAGGTGCGGTACCTGGAGCAGCAGAACGGGGCCCTGCTGCAGGAGCTGAACCAGTTCAAGGGCCAGTACCAGCATGGCCAGCCCAACCGGGCCACGGAGCTCTTCCAGGAGGAGCTGAGGGAGCTGAGGAGCCAGATGGACGCTATCGGCAAGGAGAGGGACCAGTACCAGCTGGAGCGGGACAACCTGGCTGAGGACCTGGCTCTTCTGAAGCAGAGGTCGGTATCAAAGTGACAAAAAGAGATGATGGACTGTCCTGTAATCACAGCTAAGACTGAAGAAATTAGACTGCACCAGGGTGTGGCACGAGACTGTGATGCTGAGCAGCATCAAGTGATTGAGATAGGCTAGTAAAATGTTTCACCAGGTAAAACAGATTATTTTGTCCAAAACAGCCGACTGTGACACATAAAATGATACCTAATTCAGTCAAGAGAAAAATCTTCTTTTATCAAAGTCCCACAACTTTATAGACTTTTGCAAAACAAAACCTCGGACATTGGGTGGGGCTGGCTGAGAAACAGGGGAGAGGAGAGGAAATGGGACCAGAGTGAAAGGGGGTTCAGTGTCAGGAGTGATGAGAGTAGGGGGGAAAAAATCAATGTGACTCAATAACTCCATTAGGTGTGTTTCAATGTCCCTCTGATGGGATGGTGCCAGAGAGCCCATTAGGACAAAAGGGCCCAGCGTAACACAGCATGAATAAAAGATGAGGGGGGGGGGGGCTAATACTTTATGTCCATCCTGRGCAGGACCGCTGTCTGACTGAGGTGATCAATCAAAAAATGAAAGCGGAGAATGAGGAAACTCAAATATAGCGCATCGTAGTTAATTTTTAATATCTTAGGGTCATAATAAATTGCAGCAGTAACCTTCGAGGTTGAAGCTGAACCAAATGGCCCCTTTTCATTTCATTTTCTTTGCTGATTTTCTCTCGACAGTCCAGAAACATAACTCACCACGCTGGAAATGCTACATTAAAACAATCTTTTTACGACCTTGGAAAAGAGGAAGTGTCTAATTTAATTGGGTCTGTGCAGAGATGGCACATTAGCTGATAGGAGCAGCTGCAAATGTCAGCATGGACACCGCCCCCCCAAAGACCCCTTTAACGGGACGGAGAATTAACAGATTGATCCTGAAAGCTTTTTGCCAGATGATGCCTTGACAGGAAGGGAGCTCCTGGTCAGTGAAGAAAAACAAACGACATGTTCACGAAACAGAATCTGTGATTCTTGTGTAAAGTTTCATCTCGCCCTCAGGTTGGACGAAGAAGCCCAGAAGAGGGCAGATGCTGAAAATAACCTGGTTGCCTTCCGTAAGGTGAGGTCACCGGATAAGGATTCTAATAKTGATGACATCGTCTGCAGTCTCAGATAACAGATCTCATTGATTTGCCTTGTTAAATCTGCAGCACTTTATCATAATAAGACGGTGCAGCTTTCTTAATATTGACCAWGTAATGCTGTGAGTGTTTAAAGTAAAAATAGATGCATAATGAATACCTAATAGAGTTTCAGGTACAGACTTTAGTTTGGGGCTTTCTTCATGTCCTATAAACCCACCAGGATGTGGATGATGCTACATTGTCCCGTTTGGAACTGGAGAGGAAGATTGAATCCTTAATGGATGAGATTGAATTCCTCAAGAAACTCCATGATGAAGTAAGTGATGCTACCTCTGAACCTCTTCACTTTAGAAACAGAGTCTTATACTGGAGATACTCTTATAGACTAAACAAAGGGTCCTACTTTCTGTGTGCAAATGCTCACGTCATCAGGAGATCCAAGACGTCCAGGTGAGTGTCCAGACCCAGCAGCTGAAAATGGAGGTGGACAGCAGCTCAAGGCCGGACCTGACAGGCGCTCTGAGGGACATCAGGGCTCAGTACGAGACCATCGCCTTGAAGAACATGCAGGAATCTGAGGACTGGTACAAATCCAAGGTGGGTTGACAGAGCAAGCATGAGCACACATACAATAATTAGTTTGTTGATTTCTGTGCTCTTTATGTTTTGCTCCTGCAGTTTGCTGATTTGACCGAGTCTGCAAAGCGCAACACTGACGCCCTGCGGCAGGCCAAGCAGGACGCCAACGAGTCCCGGAGGCAGATTCAGTCTCTCAACTGTGAAATTGATGCACTGAAGAACACCGTAAGAGCAAATACGGTTATTTATACAAATTAATTATGCACTTTTAATTATTTAATCTGTTTTGCTGTTCTTTTTTTTTTCTCAGAATGAAGCTCTGCTGAGGCAGATGCGTGAAATGGAGGACCAGTTTGGCCACGAGATTGGCAACTATCAGGACAACGTAGGCCGACTTGAGGAAGAGATTCGCCACCTGAAGGAGGAGATGGCTCGCCACCTCCGGGAGTACCAGGACCTCCTCAACGTCAAGATGGCTCTGGACATCGAGATCGCCACTTACCGTAAACTGCTGGAGGGGGAGGAGAGCAGGTGGGGGAGAAATGTTGAACTCTTTGCTGGTTTTCCTCGCGCAGAACACCTTTTTCTTAGTTTTTCTGCGTTGTCTCTCTCTGAACCAAACTGCTGAGCTCTGCATATTCAGGGATAAATCAAATCCTGTTTTCATGATTATGTTTCTCCACATAGGATCTCTGTTCCTATCTTCAACGTTGGCATGAGCAATCACCTTGGTGAGAGAGGTGAGATACTGAACACAGTTTAGTTCTGATTTTTTGAGGTGTGGTTCTGTGAAACGACAGTGAACAAGTGGTATCTTACCTGTTGCAGATAACAACATTCTCAGCCTGGACAAATAGTTTATTTTTTACTGGATTGATAAGCTAACAGTTAACCCCAGTTAACCAAGTTTGAGTTTGGTGAAACTCAAAACAACTCCAGTCATAAAATGTTCACAGTACTTTACACAAATTCTATTTTCTAAACCTTTGCGTCACTCTCAGTTTTGTATTATTTAGGTACTAGCAGAAAAAAATCTGAAGTTTACAGCTAACCTCTGCTGCTGCTATTTGTGTTTGGAGAAAACTCATAAAATCCCATGTAAATAATAATGAAACAAAAAAATTTAAAGGAATTTAAAAAGATTTAGGAAATTGCAATAAATATGAATTGAACACTTGGAATAACCAATGACTTTTTTAATGAGGTCATACAAAGAGCTATCTCTTACATGAATATTAATTGTCCATAAAATTTTTACAAAAGCCCCACTTCAAAAGATCAGAATTGTCCTTTTACAGTCAGAAACTTACTGAGACAAACTGGAACTTCTGACTTTTGTTTTGAGATTTAGTCATCCAAAATGCCTATTTATAACTTTGTAAAGCTGAACAACTTTGTGTATGATTGGTGAATAGAATAGAATAGAATAGTTTTCCTCAGCAGGAAAAGTATTCATTAAAATAAAGATAAAGACATTTTTGAAGTAAATGCAAAATATAGTATGAACTAAAAATTTTTAAATTAAAACCAAAAAAAAGGAAAAAAAAAACAAATAACTATATTAGTGAAGAACTACCTAACCACTGTAAATTATTTTTCTTAGATTGTGAATCTAAAGGCCAATTTTTGATTTATGTTTTATTCTGACATTTTACAGATTATGAAAAAACTCCAGACCCTCAACCCAAGAAGACCGTGGTCATAAAAACAGTGGAGACCAAAGATGGAGAAGTATGAAAGCTTTAGCAAAATTACACAATCTTGGTTAATTTTCCTGTATTAATATTTGAAAATCAACTTCTTTACAAATGTGTGTTGTGTTTTTTTTTTAATCAGGTTGTGAAGGAATCCAGGAAGGAGAAGGATAGTGACTTCAGTAAAACCACCAAGGACGAGTAGAAAAAAAACTGTGACGTTAGATAATGTGCCATGATAGGAAACAAGATGGTTATAAATAAAAACATTTTAGGCACATCTAGTTCTTATTTCCAATAGTTATGTGTGTCATTGTCTAGCAATGTGTCCCTCAGCAAAGGTGCAATGTAGGATAAATTTCTTTAGACAGTGTGACGCTGGTGCTATAAAAGCCACCGAACTTTTGCTAAACGCAGGTCTGTTCAAACCCCCTTTATTACTGTACCACTCGAGGCCTTGATTTACAGTGCAATCCTGTGAAATTCTATTCAACCAGAGCAGATAAATAAAACACAGGCTGAAACAAGTGGATCAATCCAGGATTTTCGTACTGTATGTCAGACTRTAGGTATGATTCCTAATAAACTTGCTGACACTGCCCTTTGGCCAACACACCTTAAAAGACAGAATAAGATTGAACTTAATCYGTCTGCTTTTGTTTTAGAAGCTTTGCTATCCTCTTGTTGTTTAAACAACGTTTTAAAAAAAGTCGTGGTTTAGTTAATGATTATATAAGACAGGAAATGCTGAAACTGAAAATGTGACCATTTAAATAAACTTTTGCTGAATGTGCTTTTCAACGATGTGTTTCTGGCATAAGTAATGGAAGAAAATGTCTGTGCAAATAAACTTCATTAGAACAAGTATTTGCTGTCTTTCATACTTACTTACTAAGCATTTTTCAYTGTGAAATGTATAAGGATGAGAGTAATTTGTGTATTTTAAGATGGATCAGTAACAAACACAAAACTGACTTCATGGCATTCCTTAAAAGATATGACAAATGTGTTTGGTTTGCCATACAAGGTGAGACAGATRAATGCTGTTATTAGTAGTTAATATCTTACTTGTGTAAGACACCTGTCAGGAAAAATATCTGAAAATCAGAGACCAAATCTGAAAAAAAAGAAAAGAAAAGAAAAGCTGTCCATTAAGGCTGTCCTGTATGGAATTTATATGTTTACTGTGGATAGGCCTACTTCCCTTTACAGTCCAGAAACACAAATTTTAAATTAAAAACAGATTCTAAAGTGGCTTTAAGTATACGTATAAACATTTTCTCTACTGACCTTTTTACATGCTCAAGGTCTGTATTTTGCTATGCATTTTGGTCTAGTTTTGTTTACTTCCACTTCGCTGAAAAACTACATACTTTGTCTAAGGGAGTACACTTGATTTTACTGTATACATGTATGTATAAAACCCAATTTTTTTAAGTTGTTTTGTCAGAGCGAAACGAGGAATATATGCACTTACTTTTTATGTTGCAGCAGTTTGACTTTCTCTGGTTATGCTTTTTCTCCTTCTAGCTTGAAACATGCCTTAATTAATTCGAGTTTTGCTGTGCCTGAAATACAAAACTCAGGGCAACAAAGCTTTCGCGATRACGAAATTCTACTTCCGCTTACCGTGTTTACGCTTTTGGCGCGAGACTTGTAAATGGCAATTTGATAGGCGAGACAGAATTACCATCGATTTTAAACAAGTAAAAAGAAGTTTTATCTACACTCTGTGAGGGATTTTAAACACGGCAGCAGGTGTGTAACAACCTTTGGACGGCCATATTTGCTTTTTGTTTACTAAGTTTCTTTAAGGGTCGGTGCTGCTGAAAGCTAACCTCTTCGGCTCTGCCTGGCCAGTGTGTTGCAGCATTAATTTAGCTGAAATGACTGAGGAGAAATAAGGTAATGATAGCACAAGTGTGTGTTAAAGTCGGTTTAATTATAATCAGCAAACATTTCTTGCAGGAATAATTTCTGAGCCTGTTTACTAGTTGTAGAAACAAAAACAAACAAAAAAAAGCAAGGTTATATTTTCTTTTTCTGATGAGCCATCATCCTCCAGCACATATATATTGGACTGACCTGATTTCAGAAAATGAAAACACAGTATTTCTATGTTTTTGTTGTTTAACAGGCTGCTGAATTTGTGTGTTTAGGTGGAAGCCCTGCACCTGAAGCCTGGCTGAAACTTATTCAAGATGAACTGTGAACTTTTGGCAACATGCAGTGCGCTCGGTTATCTGGAGGGAGACACTTACCACAAAGAGCCTGATTGCTTAGGTGAGTACATTTGACTGTCTGTGTATATGTTTGTTGAATTATTTAAAACAAATACACTTTTTCAAAGAAGACGTTTCTCGGTTGTTGTCTTTGCGGCACAGAAAGCGTGAAAGACCTGATCCGGTACTTGCGTCATGAAGATGACAGTCGTGATATCCGCCAGCAACTTGGCGAAAGCCAGATTGTTCAGAACGACCTTCTGCCCATTATTGTTCAGTACAGAGAAGACAAAGCCTTATTTGATGCCTGCATCAGGTGAGACACCTGACATAGCTTCTCTCCATTAAACTTGAACATAAATTACCTCTCTGTTTTCCTGTTTTCAGACTCATGGTCAACCTTACTCAGCCTGCCATGCTGTGTTTTGGTAAAATCCCAGATGACCCAGTTTTAAGGCATCACTTCATGCAAGTGACGTCCCATTTACAAGCCTATAAAGAGGTATTTTATTACCAACTATCAGTGTTGAATAAAGTACCACAAAGTGATACCAAAAAATTACTTTGGTAAAAGTCAAAGTCTCCTTTAGGAATATTACTTGAGTAGAAGTCTTAAAGTATCTGATATTTTTTGTACTTAAGTATTACATGTAAAAGTATTGATTTAAAATGAGCAGTTAGATTTTCTGTAAAGACATTTATTAGGAGGTGATGTGAGCTCCCAAAAAAAAAATGCAGAAATGACTGTCGTATTAAAGTAGTTAATTTATGTTAAATTTATGATGCACTAGTCTAGCCGTTTCAGTTTATATACAAATATCAAGGAGGCCCAAACCTTTTCCCCAAAATGAAAATCTATCTGAGGGCTGCGGCCAAATACAATAATATAATTCATGAAATACAAATGCTTCTTAAGTACAGTCCTTTTAATTTAATGATTATGTCCTGCTGGAGTGTGACATGATTTGTTTGTGTTCAAACTAATAACGTATCAGAATTTGATATATTTATACATCTCATTCAACCAGAATTAAATCCACTCTATCTAGGAGGCACAATTTATATGGATAGTAACAGTATTTATTTTTTACAATAACAAGCTGGAATGAAAACAAGCAAAAATGAAATAAAAGTAAYGACTTTCTACTTCTTGCCTTTTTTTTAAATGTAAGGAGTAGAAAGTACAGATAATCATGTGAAAATGTAAGAAGTAGAAGTAAAAATTAGGCTGAAAAATAACTACTCAAGTAAAGTACAGATGCCCAAAAATTCTACTTAGGTACAGAAACAAAGTATTTGTACTTAGTTATTTTACAACTCTGCCAACTAGTAGAGGGATTATTTGTGAATGAAAACAAGTTCAGTAACCTCAATGCCTGTTAATTGAATTTGACTTTACTGTAAATAAAATACCACTTGATGTTTCTGTTTGTTTCAGGCATTTGCCAGTGAGAGGGTATTTGGCATTCTAAGTGAGACTTTGTACAACCTCCTACAACTTGTGAGTTCTTTAACTTGTGGTAGAAATTTTTTTGCTTTTATCTTTTTTTTCTGGTGTAAAAACCTGTTTTATATGATTTAATAAATTTGCTCATTCAGGACTGGGAACAGAGGCAGGAAGAAGATAATCTTCTTATAGAGAGGATTTTGCTTCTGGTCAGGAATGTGCTTCATGTTCCTGCAGACCCGTTTGAAGAGAAGGTTTGATTCTGTTCATTTATTATTCAGACTCTGTGTTTTTCCTCCGTTTTAACCATTTCCTCTCCTCTTTCTGCTTGTAGAAGGTGGATGATGATGCCAGCATCCATGACAGGGTGCTGTGGGCTGTTCACATGAGCGGTTTTGACGACCTGATCAAGTTCATTGCGTGTGCCCAGAGCGAGCAGCAGTGGAGCATGCATGTGTTGGAAATGATCTCCCTCATGTTCAGAGACCAGGTTAGATAATGACTGTTGAGTTTTTACATACAAGGATGTCTTTCTGTTCTAAGCTTGAGTTTTTTTCGTTTGGATYCACAGACACCGGAGTCTCTGGTGAGCTCTGGTCACGCTCGATCGGCAGAAGAGAAGCAGAAAGACTCTCAGGAGTTGGAGGCGCTGAGGCAGAAGGAGCACGCCGAGAAACGCTCTCGGAACTTACAAAGAGGAAACAGGTAAAAACGAGCTGGTAGTTGTTAAAAAGTTTCTTCTATCTCTCCGGTGGGCAGCCTCGCTTTCTGTCAGTGCGCCCCAGGGCAGCTGTGGCTACAATGTAGCTTACCATCATCAGTGAATGGGTGAATGTAAGTGTAAAGCACTTTGGGGTCTGGAGAGACTTGATWAAGMGYTCTATAAGTTCAGTCCATTTACAAATTTTCACAGTAATGTATGTATATTTGTGACCCATCACATCGAAACGAGGATTAAGTCCAAAAGTGGAATGTAGAGAAATGGACAGATGTAGGGTTTTGATTTAAACGTGTGCAAAAATTGCATTTTGTCAAAATATAATGAATTAAAGCCTTATCAATGTATCAGTTGAATGAACTGTCTGAAATATAATCCTTAAAAAGATTTGAAGCATTTTTTGAGCAGTAGCAACAGAAAAAAACCTGATTTTGAGGAAAAATGCCTTAAAATTTTGAATTGTTCCATGTGAGCTGGCAAAGTTTTTCTTTCTTCTCAACTGGGAAATCTTAATATACAAATACTATTTGAGGTTTCCTCTTTATATTGACAGCAAAAATTACTCAATAAATTTACATAAAATTAGGATTTAGACCAAACAGTAATGTATTATCCTAACCAACAAGACAAATTAAGACATATCGTTAAAAAATAAGCAATGTTTTTACCCTTTACCTGTTCAGATCTAACACCAGTTAATAATAATATGTGAATGTTTGAGTGAGCCATACAAAACCATCYGGACACARCTGTGGACTGATAATCTTTGATTTAATCTGCCTCTGACAGGCATCACCTAACCAGTGACCAGAACCAGAAAGAACACATCAAGTTACCAATCTCTTCGCATCCTGACTCCGCCTCATGACATATGTTAAAGGGGCAGGCTAGCTCTACATGGAGTCAAGATGTCAGACATTATTCCTCACACTAATGTTTGATCACGGTTCTTATATGTGTTGTTTTAAATCAGACATGTATCTAACTAAAAGCCTCCTGAGTCTGTGAAACCCTGGTCAAGTGTCCCACAACCCAGTCTGCACATAAAATCATCAGTTAAATCAGAGATAACCACATTATAAAAATATAAAACTGTTCACCTAATAAAAGACTATACAATGTGTAGTGTCTTTTAAAAGTTCGTAGTAAACACCCCAATAAATTTCTTCAATATCTCTAGATCCACTTATGTTATCAGAATGATCCAGGTATCAAAATGTAGCTTTAGAAGACAGGAATCTGAAAATGTAAGTAGGTCATTTTGACCAAATTTGACTTAATCCTCATTTTGATATGATGGGTCACATTTATCTTTTGTTTCACAGCTTTTGTATTGATTGTTTTTCAGACACTCTCGCTTTGGTGGCTCTTATGTTGTTCAGGGCCTCAAAGCAATCGGGGATAAAGACGTGATCTATCACCAAAACCTGAACAATGTGAGTTCAGTCCTTCCATAACTTTTCTTCAACATTGAAAACAAAATGTTGAGTGGTGCGAGCAGCAGTTCACGTCTCTTTGCTTTTTCATTTTGTAGTTCAAAAATTACACTCACGACCTCGGTAAAGCTGTGAGGCGTGTTCCCAAGAGGAACTGGCGAGCTCAGGAATGTAAGGACAAGCGACGCTCGGCCTTAAACGTCCGACTCTTCCTGCGAGAGTTTTGCATCGACTTCTTGGAGAACTGCTACAACCGACTCATGTACCTCGTCAAGGTCAGCCTCTGCATCGTGACTTTATTTTTTCCCCTTTTTTTCATAAACTGAGACTTATCTGGAAATGGAGCATGTCTTTTAGCCGAAGTGTTTTGTCATGAAGAAATGTTGAGATATTTGAGCTTCTGCTTTTGCAGGAAAGTTTGATCCGAGAGCAGACTCAGCAGCACGATGAGACCTACTACCTCTGGGCGCTCAGCTTCTTCATGGCGTTCAACCGTTGCAACGGTTTCCGTGCCGACTTAGTCTCTGAAACCATGTCTGTTCGCACTTTTCATTTCATCGAACGCAACATCACCAATTACTACGAAATGATGCTAACAGACCGCAAAGAGGCCACATCCTGGTCCCGCAGGTGAGATTGGTTTGAAACGACGCAGAGGTGATTTTTTTTCCCCTCCCCCATTAATTCACATCATTTGTTAATTTTAGGATGCACTTGGCTCTTAAAGCATATCAAGAACTGCTGCTCACTGTGAACGAGATGGACCGCTCACAYGATGACGGCATCCGTCAGAGTTCCAACGTTATTAAAAGTAAGACGATGCTCATTCGATGCCAGGTTACTGCCTTCAAAATATGCTCTTTAATTTCAAATGTGTCTTTAAAGTGCCTGTAACATCAAATTTTTTGTAATATATATGAAATCATTTTTAGWAAGAGAACATTGGTAAAATATTGCAAAAGAAATTTCATGTAGTCGTWGAGATATTTGCTTGTGAAGTAACAGGAAGTGATGTCAGAGGGGAATGTCTGCATGTGAACAGAGCATTGTTACAATGACTACAACACAGACTGTAAAGAAGAATCTGATGTTTCTTTAKATTATTTTGAGTCGCTATCAGAGAGATGAAGAAGAGGCWGAGTTCAAATAATATTGTTTCAATAAACTAAGACCAGAGAGTTTTCTTTGTTAAAGAGTTCCCCTTTGATGTCACTTCCTGTTTCACTTTGGCTCAGCCAAGTTCAAAAGAAAATATGCCAGTAATGGGACAAAGTGGGTTAAATCGTGTGTATTATTCCAACTTTCTTAAATATAAAGATGTTTTCTTTGACTTTTTGTATTTGAAGAATATGTATTTCACAGACACTTTAATGCTCTCTACCAGGAATGACAGGATAGAACCTGTGTCTGTTTGAGGTTGTGTTCATTCAGGGTGTCCGCAGGTCCTTAAAAAGTCTTAAATTCACATATCTAAAATTAACACCTTAAAAAGTCTTAAATTTATTTAAAAATGTGCTATTTGGTCTTAAATTTGTTACTCAAAGGTCTTAAATTTTGTCAGGCAGAAGCGATTAAAGTTCTTCATCTCTGCAGAACCATTGCTTATGTTTTCGGTCTTAAATTTCATTCAAGATGGTATTAAAAAAAGTCTTAAAATTTTTAAATTTGACTTGCTAAGACCTGCAGATAGCCTGTCATTTGTCGGTTAGCAAAATATCTCTTGAACCACTAGATTGATTTTAATGAAACTGTCAAAGTAATCATTAGATGTTCACCTACAACTGTCTTTTGAAGTTTATCCAATTCAAGATGGCCGCCACAGATACTGAGCTGAAGTTTGGTGTGGTTGTACTCCAAGCTCAAACAGATCACATGAAATTTTGGCCTGGAAGATGGTGGTCACCTAGTATCATTTTAAACAATTTTTGCTTTTAATTTTCAAACTTGAATTCCATCTGTTCACTTTTACCACTCAGGTAACATATTCTACCTGATGGAGTACCGGGAGATCTTCCTGACCCTGCTGAGAAAATACGACGAAACCAAGCAGCCACAGTCCTACCTCAAAGACCTGGTGGAGTCGACTCACCTGTTCCTGCGCATGCTGGAGCGATTCAGCAAAGGTCGGAAAAACTTGATCGTACAGGTAATGTTTCGTCACGGCCTCTGAGGAGTTGTGTTTTTTTTTTTTTAAACGTGGTCGAGATGTTTGATGTGTTGCTCTGCTCACCCTTCAGAGGAAGAAGATGAAGAAAAGAAAAACTCAGCGTAAAAAGAAGCAGTCGGTTGTAGAATCCAGTCCCGAGGTGCTGGCAGAAACCTGGAAGAACGTGGAGGATGAGCTGAGGGGGACAAACTTTCAGGTTGGTGTCAGAGCTCACCTCTAGGGGGAGCTGTGAGAAGACATGAGCTTTTTTCAGTCTGATGGAATTACTGGAGTTGCCTTTAGTTCAAATTCAAAGCCACGCTTTTCTGTTCTTAGCTGTCGGAGGCTTTAACGGAGAGCATCGTGCCGTTTGACCCGACATCCGAAACTCCTGTTGAGGAGCAGAAAACGGAGGCGATGGTACGAGTGCAGGATTCTCTGCTGGCTCGATTGGGACCTGAAGCTCTGGGATTGCTGCGCGCCGCCAGGTCAGTAAAACATCAGTGTTCATTTCTTTTCATCTGTTGCTCTTTTTTTGTTATGACAACAAATTCATGTGAAATCAAAAGTTGTCCGAGCAATACTTCAGACTTTTTAAGTGGGGCACAGTGGACAGGTTGTGAACAGTTAATATCCTACCTGTGGTAGATGGCATTTTAAACAACCTCAGAGAAATAGTTTGTTTCTGATAGGATTGGCAAGTTATCATTTTAAGCTATTCATTTAAAACTTTTATAAAAACAAGCAGTAAATTTTGTGGGTTCACATCAAAAGTTTGGAGTTTACAGTTTTTGTGTGAGTGTGTGTGTGTGGGGCGGGGGTGGCAATACAGCACATGAATCGTGCCCTACATACAGAAATCTTTTAGGTTTAATTTTATTAATTTATTATTATTATTTAAGTTAGTGTAATTTACCGTATTCACTTTGAATTTATTTATTTATTTATTTGGCTTCTTGTAACCCAAGGATGTGTATAACACTAAGAAAATGGGATACACCTAAAGTTTTATTGTGTATTTTGTAAAGTAAACTTTAAAAGGTATTCTCACTTTCCCCCCACAAGAAAAARGATTTTCTTAGTTGTGTAAATATTCAGGTTTTCTTCCTGCCGTGTGCAGGGAGGTGTGGCCGGAGGGCGACGTGTTCGGTTCCGCTGATGTGGAACCTGAAGAAGAACTTGAACTCCTCAAGCAGATCCTCCATGCCAACCTGCCACGTGAGATTTTTTTTTAAGTACCTTTAATTCTCTGTTGCACTGCGAACATGCCAGATTAACAGATCAGTTTAATTTCAGGGCAGCTTCCTGAGGCGGTGGTTGAGGATGAGGATGATGGAGCAGAGTTAGAAGAGGAAGAGTTGGAATCTGTTCAAGTTTCTGAAACCGAGTTCAACTTCCTAGATTTTGTCAAGAAGTGAGGAAATAAACAAACAAACAGTTTGAGCCTTTTACACTCTGCCTGTACGAGATAAATATMGTTTCTGAAATGTTTTCAGCTGCTTCCTCATTGAGCCTCTCTCCTCTCGACTCTGATAGGTTTGCCAGCCCTGCCGTTGTGCGTCCCTACCTTCTCCTGTTAAAGTCCTACTCCAAAAACACCCCCCACACAAACCACTGCATCGCACGAATGCTGCACCGCCTGGCCGTCGACCTCAAAATGGATGCCCTGATCTTCCAGCTGTCGGTCTTTTACGTTTTCAACAAAATCCTGAGCGACCCTGCTGCAGCAGCGTATCAGGTTCAGTAACACGGGCGGGTGGGATCGTTTCTAAAGTACAGTACAGCGTACAAAAACACTCACCCCTTTGTTCGTCCTCTTCTTCACAGGAGCTAGTAACCTTCGCCAAGTACGTGCTGAACCGTTTCTTTACGTTAGCAGCGCAGAACGACAAGGCGTACGTTGAGCTGCTCTTCTGGAAGAACGTCGGGGCGGTCCGGGAGATGACTGAAGGCTACGGCAAAGATGGGTGGGGGTTTCAGTTTGTTTGCATTTACCTGGCAGACTATTGTTGCAAGTTAAAGATGCAGTCCAGCTTTTTTAAATTTGTTTTCACCCTCAACTTAAAAAAAAAAATGTATAACATGTGCTAGGGAGGGGAAAACCCCAGCCTGGACTGAAGAGGAGGAAGAGGAGCTGCGTCGGCTCTACATGGAGCACCGGGATTCTGAAGGTTTGCTTTGAAATATAATATCTGCACATCTTTTTTTTATTGTTTATGTTACAAGTGATCATATTAAGCTTTAATTAATTCAATTCAAACTTACAAGAAGACAGAACAAAACTAAAAATAACACTATTCATAAAATAATACAATACACTTCTAATCAACGTCTTATCAACAGTTCCTGTCGTARGATGTGGTTTTAAAGAAAACTAATTATACAAAAGATGTAAACTTGTAAAACAAACCAAAGAAATGCTTATTGTTGTCAGTGCCGGACATCGTGGAGACTCTTCTGCCTTTACTCAGCAACAGCAGCCGGACTCGGCGGCAGGTCGTCACACAGCTGGTACATCTGGGTCTGGTGGGCACCGCTAAAGAACTGARGAAGCCAAAGTCCGTACCCTGGTTTGTGCTAGAAGTTTCTACAAGTCAAGGCTCTTTGTAAAGATGCTTTTATTATAATTTTAATTAAAGGAAGGGCACTGGAATCGTTCTGTGGACGGAGGAGCAGGAATTGGAGCTTCAGATGCTTTTTGAAGAGTTCAAAGACTCGGATGGTAAAAACAAACTTTGTTCTCAGACTAACGATCACATTTTTGCCACCATCGTTCTTGTCTGGAATCCTGCAGGTCTGGAGGTATTCAGGTTGTTAAAAGCTTTTGTGTTTGCGCAGATGTGCTGGGTAACATCCTAAAGAAGATCACGGCTAGGCGGTCCCGAGCGCGCTTGGTGGACAAGCTGCTCAGCATGGGCCTGGTGTCCGAGAGACGAGAACTTTATAAGAAGAGAAGCYGCAGCGCTAAAGGAAAGAGCTCTGGAGAGGGAATGGTAACGCTGCTTTAGATTCACGGTTCTTAAACTAAATGTAAAGATAAACGCCCGATATTRTGAATGTTTTAAAGAAAAGGTAATTTCTGCCACAGACTGAAGAAGAGTTCYTGAATGAACTAACACAAGGCCTCCCAGACGATTCCTCGGACCGAGATGAGGATGATGAAGACGAGAGAGACGATGAGTCTGATGATAGCGAGGAAGAGGAAGAGCAGGAAAGAGAAAAATCACAAAATGCTGAAAAAAGAAGCCAAAACTTCCACTTAGTAGAGAGGAGAGCAGACATAAGCACCATGGTGATCCGTCTCCAACAAGAAGGTGAGATGAAGATCAAACTAACTTTGTTTTTTTTTTGTTTTGTTTTGTTTTGTTTTGTATGAATAGATAATTCACATTCTTATATGATCAATGGGTCACAATTTTAACTTAATTTAATTTGATTTTCATTTTACTTGATTGAACCATTTTGTTGTTTTTGTCATAAAGGCTTGTCTGGACCATTGTTGTGGCTGCAGAACTCTTTAACTAAAACRGCCAAGAATCGTGAAGATGATGGTGAGCGTGACCAAAACAACACAAACACCCACTTTCTGTCCCTTTAATCTCTTCATGGTGATTCTGGGAACGTTCTCATTAAAGTTAMCGGCATGCAGAGGAGAAAAGGCTTGTTTAATTAGCATTGTTAATGAAGGTATGGTCCATTTCTCAGGTCTGTCCCAGGCCGTTCCACTTTTACCTCTGACTGAGACAAATGAAGACGCCATGGAGAACAGGAGCTTCCAGGAGCTGTTGTGCAAACTGGGAATCCGACCACCTGCTAACGAACAAGTGTGTCTTTGTGTTGCATTTTATTCTTGGATTCAGGCTACTGTTTGCTAATAATTTAGAATTAATACCTGACATTTTATGTMTCTTTTAGTGATTAATGTTTATTTCTGTATTTAGGAAATCTTCTGGAGGATCCCAGCAAAGATCAGTCCAGCTCAGCTTATGAGTGCAGCTGCAGCTTTAACTCCAGGAGACAACCAAACTGAAAACCTGGAGGAGCAAGAAATGCCTGAAGACCCAACAGATGAACCCCAGGAGGAGGAGGAGGAGGAGAAGGAACAGGAGGAGGAGGTCCCGAACGAACAAAGAGCCCAGGCTCTCAGGGCCCTGCTGCTCGCACGCAATAAGAAGCGCCGCGCTGCAGAGAGTCCAGGTGGGCGTTTCATCCTCGGCACGCTTTAATTACAGCGTTCTCTGCGAGGTGAACGGTACGGTACAAGGTGCACACAAAGTGTTCTGTCACAGGGGCTTGCTTTGTCTTGTCTCAAAAATAAAAGATTGCAACTCTGACATCACTGAAGAAAATRCAACCACGAGTTTTAAAAACAACAAAGTAATGAAGTTTACTCTGACAATGTTTTATCTGGATTAAGGAACATTTCTGCTATGTTGAAGAGAAAAAGGGAGGATAAATCTTTAATGCTCTTTAAAGAAGCTAAGAAAAACACAAGCTCTCTCAACTTGCTTGGAAGTCAATGCAACTCTCCTGAGAGCTTTAATATAGGAAGAAAAAAACTTTTAATTGTCAAATAACTTAAAGAAATAAGGCATTAAACCAGCTCTTTGAAAACAAAGATCTCCATTAACAGATTATGTTTCCTTTTAGCTGACTAATTTATTGGCACTTAATTTTTTTTTTAAGTAAAACGCTGCTAATTTAGATGAACAGGCTGCTCAAATGAGCTGAAATGGTGCAGATTTAGTTTAAGATAAAGACTTGAGAGTGTTTTTTGTGTGTGTAATTTTATTTTATTTTTAGACCTTGTATCAGATAATACTCCTGATGGTGACAAAAACAGCATTACAGAAAGGTAAGGTTTTGCATTGTAACGGCTTTTCACATTAAAGGCAAACCTCAGCTACTGTGTTTATATTATTKTTCTTATAATCCTTTTCATATAACAGGTCCCAGGAAAAGACCGTAAGTAAAAGAAGCAGAACACTGGATGATGATGACGATGAGGAAGAAAAAGGTATTTTTTTTGTCTGGAAGGTTTAGTATTTTACGATGTGTCATACAACTATTAAATTTGACTAACATGGATTTCTGTACAGAAAATGATGCCACCTGTGCAATGGAGGTGGACACAAATGCTGATGCAGATTCAGACCAGGAGGATGTCGCTGCTCCCGTGAAGCGAAGGCGGAAAATGGTTTTAATTGACGAGGAGGAGGAAGATTAGTGAAAGTCTTTAATGGACTGCAGACAAGAAGGTCCCTTGAGTTACTGGGAATAAAATCGGCCCTTTGGAGAGCTGCAGTSCAGACAGCAGGAAGTATTAACGAATCATTTGATCCTATATTTTACTTTATATCCTAAATAGAAAACCTGTTTCTGTTTGTATTTGTTGACATTTAAATCATGGTAATACAGAATTTGTGTTACAACAGTTCAATTAGTTTGTGTTTGACTTGAAAGTTGTTCCACAAATACAAAYACTTTCAATGTTTTTGAGTCATTTTCAGTCTTTAATTTTCATTGTCATAATAAAATGTATATTGGTCAATAAAACAAGTTATCAGTAAATATTCTTGGAGTTGTGATTGGTCTCTTTGACGCAGTTCACAGTTTCAACACTAGAGGGCGTATAGATTATCATCCTGGCCATTCATTATTTAAACATGTTAAAAATAGTTTTTGATTGGTTTATTTACTTTTTTTTGTAAAATGAAAAGCAAAAAGAAAGAGATCTATTAACATCTTAGTCTTTTTTTCTCCTTTGCAGAAATTAATTAAAAATGATGACCTTTTTTTGGATCTGCCAGATTCAAATGGGTGAATATCTGACCACATAATCTTTGCTTAAAATGTTATTTAAACTCTGTTTTGTCCGTTGTCAAAATATTTCATGACTTTATATTTTACATCCAGGAAATATACCTTAGAACTTSATCTACAATTGATTAACTTTTGGAGCCATCTCATTTCAAGATGTTGGTTCAGCCAATAACCTTTAAAAAATGGGTATAGTTCAGTTAATTTGACAGATATTTTACTAAATTTTGCTGCGACTTATTCCCAACACATTTCCCAAAATGGTACTCCTTGAGTGAGAACTTTGCTTAAAGCTTTTTCAGATTAAGCAGTGTTTTCTCACCATGTCTGAGGTGATGTGTTGTCCTCACATCTGGAGGACATTAGGAACTTCCTGTTCCAACATCTGCTCTGCCCCCCACCACCAACCCCTAGACTGGAGGCAGAACGGCCTAAAACAGACGCTGACATGAGGCAATCGCAGTGTGAGTGGATCATGAATTAACAAGGCATATCACTATCTGTGCTGAGAAGGTTCTAACAGTCCTCCCTTGACTCAAGCTAAAACATTTTATGATAGTTGGATTATAACTGGAGGTGAGTCATTGTTCTGTGAGCAGCAGGCCTGAAGGCTGTTGCCTACATGTGAGAAACAGATGGCTTCTGACACCCATAAAGTCAAACACTCAGGAAGAAGACATACTTGCCAAATTTAGCTTAAAGTTGATATTTTTGCATTCAGGAGTTAGAATGACAAGAAAGCTCAATACAGAAACTTTTAAGCAACTAATGATCGTTCAGGCTTAAAACAAAAGTTTCAGTCGTCATCTAAACCGAAATGAAGAAAGTGGGAATATGACGGAAGTTCATGTTCATAAAACAAAAAAATATCTCAACCAAATCCAAGCAGAGGTTTTTACACGAAATGTGTTGTAAACACACCTCAAACAGTAAACTGCCTCGGGGAAACTTACCTGTTTGTTGAGACAAGTGGAAAACGTTACATCTTTTCCTCACACTGAAGGAAGACGTAGGGTTTTTCCTTGGAAACTCTTTTGATTCAAACTGTATTTCATGTTGCGACAGCAACACACTTTCAGCGTTTTGTTTTCTKTGTATTTGTTGGCTATAAAAATTTAATGTGACTTTCAGAGAGAGTACACATCATTCAATAACCTTTTGTACTTCTAAGCAATCTGTAGCTGAATATGTAGTCAAAACATCAAAGATGGATCGCACCTTTGAGTCAAACTTGACTGAACATATCAAAAAATACTTGACAAACATAAATATTGGAACAAAAACATAATTCATATTCAAGGGGGTTGTAGGTTTTAATTGGCCAGGTTGAGTTTTATGATCAAGTTGTTTGTGCTCATTAGACAACCACCTCCTCTGGCAGATATGAGRAGGAAAAACAGCTGCAGCTCATTCAGAAAGAGACCCTCAGGTGTCCTGTGTCGACAGTTTTTGTACCCAGAAGATTCCCCGAATGAAGAAAACAAAGTGGAAACAAATTAGAGCATAATTAGGGGAAACGTGGATGTACTGATATGATCTGATACTGAAATATTATCCATATCCCTTTTTTAGGGAGATGTGATGGCTCAGGGGTCTTGTAATCCTGAAGCTGCACGTTTGAGACCATGTTTTGTCAGGAAGGTCATCTGATGTAAAACAAYTGCCAAAACTTTCATGTGAGCACTTAGAGGCTGAAAAACAACAATAACTTGTATACATCTTGTTGACCTTCACAACTCTCAGGGTGAAGTATCCTGGAGTTTGGACTGGATCTAAATATCACCAAGTGTTGGGTTGTCCTTCCATCCACTGCAGTGTACACAGATCAGTCTTGGTTAAGACTACGGAGTAGTTTCACCACATACTTGCCTCTGGGTTAAGCTTTCCAGCATAATCAGATCAGTCTAAATCAGCTAATAATGAGTCAATTCTTTTCTTTAGTGTTTTGTCCATTGTCGACTGTTTGCTYTCTGCCTCCCCTCCTCCAGCAGACTGTGAAAACGAGCGCTTCTGTTTACGAACATAAACATCACTTTGAAATGCCTGTGAGATGCATGTCCTAGAAAAAAAGATGGAAAAATATCTTAGTATTAAACAAGGTGGAACTCGACATCAAAGTGTTGGCATGTCTGTGTGACATGATTTGTTTGTGTACAAACTAATATGGTATCAGAATTTTGTATATTTATACTTCTCGTTCAACCACAGTTAAATTCTCTCTATCTAGGAGGCACAATTTATAT